ACTACTTTTATTTTTGTTATTATATGCTGATATATTTACCTATTTATATTTCTATTTATATACTTAACTATCTCAAATGTGTTCACATTGAACTCTAATTGTTTGAAACTATTTTTGTAACTAAATTGTATAAAACTCAGTCAGCCAGTACTTGGCGGTGTTAATAAATTGAATTGAATTGAATTGAATTGAATTGAATTGAATCAAACGATTTACCAAACGCAGAGGATAATCATTATTCGTCAAAAATTCAACCAATCGTATGTTGTTCTCTGTCGCACAACGAACATCACTTAACCGATGAACTCTATCAATGAATCCAATGGCTGTACTGATTTTTTGACATATCGGGTGTATTGAATTGAAATTTAATAAGTGACCGGAAGACACCTCTTTTCTATACCAATTAGTATAAAAGCATTTGTTATCGACATATCGATACACAACCATATCCAAAAACGGGATTTTTCCTTCAATTTCTTTCACAAAATTAAATTGGATCCTTTCTTCAACGCTGTTAAAGAGAAATAAAACCTCATTCACCAAACCTTTCGGTAAAATCAAGAACAAATCATCCACATATTTCTTCAAAATCCGGATGCGACTCGAATGATGTTCCATAATTATCTGAATTTTATCTATCCATCAATAATTCAACCAGAATAGTAGAAATAGGTGCCCCCATTGGTGTTTCATAACATTGTTTGTAATGCTGTCCATTGAATCTAAAGTAACTGTTATTCGTGCATATTTTAATCATTTCAATGAACTCAGCCCTTTCCAAAGTTGTATGTTGAGAGATTTCATCCCATCCCCGAACAAAATTTTGGATTTTTCGCTCAAAAACGAAATTTTGTATGGGAAGGACCCTTAATGTTCAATGAACTTTGAATAACAATTTTATGCAAACCAAATTCAATGTTATTTTTGTCAAAATTAGCTTACGTTTCACATTTCATTTTACTTTGTTTAAATTTACTTCAATGTTTCAATAAATTCAGTTATGCTTTAGAAAGCTAATCGTTGAGTTGTCTTTTAATTACCCATTCAAAACTTAATATGCATTTCGAAATTTGTTGAAAATTCACTATATTCCAGTTATTTTTTAGTTTTTCAGAATTTATACAGTGTAAAGCGGATAAGTTGAAAGTCGCTGTTACACAAATTACGATGAAGAACCAGTCTAATGGTGAACTCACTCTACCCGATGCTTCATTGGTTCGGAGCATCACAACGCGTGCTCAACGAGAGATATTTCTGATTGAACAAACGCAGCCTGGTACTAGATGCAGCATATGGTTTTACCAAGTCATCTGTGGTCCATTGGATCTAAAAGTTCTAGCTGATGTGATCAAAAAAATTACTTTGAAAATTCCATTATTGCAAACACGATTCGATTTCTCAGATGGAGAACTCTGGCAGATCTACGATCGTAGCATTCACCAAACAATAAGAACAATTGATGTCAGCACACATTTGAATCCGCTTGAAGAGGCATTGAGAAGAATGAAAGAAGCCGCAAATCAGCCCTGTATCACAACCAATGATAAACTGTATGAATTCACTTTCTACATTGTCGACAACAACACACATGCACTGTATGCACAGTTTCATCACAGCATTATTGATGTAAGATCTTGGACCAAATTAGAATCCATGATCACAACCGCCTATAATAATTTAAAACAAGACAAACCAATCGACATGTTGCCAGAATTGCATTTTGATGCACTCGCTCAAGCAGATCTCACCTATAGTGCTTCGGCAGAGCATGAAAAAGACGAGAAATTTTGGAAAAATCAAATGCAGTCATTCAAGCGCCATGCTTACACACAGCGAAATGTCGATTCTACATTGAACAAAATCACTTATCGTTGTACACACTCATTGAGTATCAGCGAACGCCAAAAACTTCAAAAGATAGCGGCAGAAATGCATATTCCAGAAGCCATTCTCTACATTGGTGTATCAAAACTATTGTTTCGAAGCCTACATGGCAACGAATATGTAAGTCTCAGCTTACCAGTGAGTGGAACGTATTTGAGACAAGAACTTGGTATGACATCTAATATTGTGCCACTGCTATTGCGTATTCCTGAGGATGCCACACTCAAAGAAGTCTTTATGAATGTTGCTCAAGAAACTAAATCAGTTCTTACCCATCAACGCTATCGCATCGATAAAATTCGACGATATGCTGAATATAGTTCAAACAAAAGCTTTGGCCCTCACGTTAATGTAATGCTCGTCGATCACCGAGAAGAACTTGAAGGTTGTAACTGTTCATCTTATTTTGGTGCAAACATCGATAGCAATGAATTACAAATAACATTCTGGTCTGAACGTCCAAACGGTCGTCTTGATATCATGTTTGATGATATTCAGGAATGTCATTCAGAAAAACAGCTTGTTGCCTTAAGAGATCGTTTAAATTTTATTTTGGCTCTTGTTGTTAGTGCTCCGGAAACTACAGTAGCCACACTCAATAAACGATGTCGTGCTGTCTCCACGAACGAGCAGAATGAGAACTTTTATGCGAATCGAAGAATGCCAGTTGCAGGTGGATTTCTGCAGTGGAGTCGATATGCCGATTCACTAGTACGTCTCGTGAATGCCAACACGTGGGCAGGAAGCGGCCCCAGTCCTTTTGCAACCTCAAAAGTACTTCTTATCGATCGAGTGGTGAGCATCAGTGGATTGAAACGCGTTAATGATATGGATATACGCACGGAAGCATCGGGAACATTATTGGCAATTGACGAAAATACTTGGCAGGTTACTGTTGCAGATGGAGTTGTTGAAATAAGTGATTTCTTTGATGAGAGTGGGCGAGCCATATCAGCTCGGATACTTGCGAAGCAATGTCATCTTCTCGCAGGTGACCAACTTCCAGCTATAACGCCCAAACAAGCCGAACTTTTACGCGCAACATATGCACAGGTCATGCGATCGAATCCCCATTGGTCACATTGTCTTGCCAACTTTGAACTATGTAAACTTTCAATTGTGCAAAACAATGCCAATCAATCATCACCTGTATGGGTCGCATCTGATTTTCAAAGTTTATCACACGTAGGATTCAGTGCAACAGAGCTTCTTGCCGCATGGCTCATTTACATCGCTCGAGATACCCAAATGTCACAATTACAGATCGGATGGGATGCCACTGGATCGAATGCATTTTACCAAAATGGACGGCTTTTTGCTGAAACTGTACCATTTTCGACATCCATCGATTTGAGTGATACCTTTGCAAGCGTTGTGGCCAATATAGAGAGAGATTGCAAGGAAATGGTTGTCAACTTACCATGCTTGTCAGATTTGATCGTTCGACATGCCATATGTTCTTCATATAACTTGCGCAGCGACAGACCATGGGAATTGGCTGTGTCCCTAATCAACACTCAAGAAGAATGCCCCTCCAAAGACGCTCACGGTAGTTTGCTCACGCTTCAGATCAACAAAAATAATGGCTCCTTTCGTTGGATCTATGATAATAATAAGATATCAGAGGAGGAAGTAAACCGTATATCATCACATTTGCTGGTTTTACTTGCATCTGCTCATAGCATAGATCAATCACAGAAACCCATTGGCCGACTGAATTTACTACCCAAAGCTGAACGCGAACTGCTTCTCAATATCTGGAACCAAACAGACATAACTTATCCTGCTATAAAGTGCATCCATCAGTTGTTCGAAGAACAAGTCAGGTGTAATGGTTCAGCGATTGCTGTCGAATGTGAAGGAGAAACTATGAGCTACGATGAACTCAATACACAATCAAATCGACTAGCACACTATCTGATTACAAAAGGTGTTAAGCCAGATGATCTCATCGCACTATGCGTTAGGCGCAGCTCTAAAATGATCGTAGCAATATTAGGCATTTTAAAAGCCGGTGGCGCTTATTTGCCGCTCGATCCGGAATACACTAGTGAACGACTAAAAAATATTCTGAGGGATGCCGATCCATTGTGTTTGTTGGCAGATGCCTCTGGCCAAAAAGCACTTGGAGATCATCATGTGTCTGTGGTAAATTTGGATCATATGTTACCCGATGGCCTGTCGAGTGATAACCCGAATTCCATTAAACTCGGTCTAACTTCATCTCATTTGGCATATATAATTTATACTTCTGGTTCTACCGGAAGACCGAAAGGGGTGATGGTAGAGCATCACTCTCTGCTCAATTTGGTTCAAAGTCGAACTTCTATTTATGAAATAACTCATAAGGGGCGTTTGTTGCAGTTTGCTTCTTGTTCTTTTGATACAAGCATATTGGAAATCACAATGTCTTTAACAAGTGGGGCCTGTCTGTGCATACCAAATGAAGAAGTACGTCGAATGGACAATTCCTTGCTAAGATATATGAATGCCGAAAAGATTACCCATGCGCTTTTACCGCCAGCCTTGTTCCGAAACACACAAAATCTAATATATTTAAGTTGCTTGAAGGTTTTGATTTTGGGTGGCGAAACACCGTCGTTATCGTTGCTAAAAACTGCCGTTAGATACACTGCAGTTTTCAATGCTTACGGTCCAACTGAGGCAACCATAGGTGTGACCTCTTGGTCGTGTCCAATTGATTTTGATAGCCATTCAATACCAATCGGTCGTCCAATATCTAACAATCGTATTTACCTCTTAGATGCACGAGGTGAACCGGTGCCATTGGGCGTCGAAGGGGAACTGTACATTGGTGGTGCTGGTGTAGCTCGCGGCTACCTCAACCAACCTGAACTTACCGCCGAGAGCTTTTTGTCCGATCCATTCAGTGAAAATCCGACCGCACGCATGTATCGCACTGGTGATCTGGCACACTATCTGCCTGACGGTAATTTAGTTTATATGGGACGCATTGACCAACAGGTAAAAATCCGTGGTTTACGAATTGAGCCCGGCGAAATTGAGGCCCGTTTAATGGAGCATCCTTCGGTGCGCGAAGCGGTTGTGCAGTCATATAAGAATGCGATTGATAGTGATACCCGTCTGGTGGCCTATATAGTGGCTGATCCAGATGTATCACTCGCTAACAAACTACGTACGTATATGGCATCTCTATTGCCTGATTATATGGTGCCAGCAGCATATGTGTGTCTATCATCATTACCACTCACACTAAATGGCAAAGTGAACAGACGTGCACTTCCAGCACCGGACGATGAAGCATTTTCTCGTCAACAATATGAAGAACCGCGAGGCGAAATGGAAGAAAAACTGGCCGCAATCTGGAGCGAACTGTTGGGTATTGAACGAATAAGTCGAAATGACAATTTCTTTGCGTTGGGCGGAAATTCTTTGCTGATTGTACGAATGAGGTTAGAACTACGGAAGGCCGGATTAGATACCAGTGTCAAGAAAATATTTGATGCTCCCACCTTACTCGCACTAGCTGACACTCTCGGCAAACGCCAGCCAGTCAGTATTCCAACCAATCTGATTACTGAAGATACCACGAAGATGACTCCAGATATGTTGCCGCTTATCGATCTATCGCAGGAAGAGATTGATTTTCTAGTAGCACGAGTGCCGGGTGGTATAGACAATATTCAAGATATTTATGGGTTAACACCATTACAAGAAGGCATATTGTTCCATCATATGAAGGCTGAACATGGTGATCCGTATCTGTTCATTAATCTAGTGAAATTTGTTGACAAAAGGGCACTTGAACGTTATGCAACTGCGCTGCAATACGTGATTGAACGACATGATATTCTGCGCACTATTTTCATATGGGAAGGGCTGAGCGAACCGGCTCAAGTTGTCTTACGTCGAGTTCCATCATTACTTACCGAAGTACCTTTGGGTGATACAGATGAGCCAGTACTAGAACAATTGAACAGCTACTACAATCCACGTCACTACAAACTGGACTTAAAACAAGCACCCCTATTGCGTCTGATAACAGCACCAACGTCTGAAGGAGACTGGGTGGTATTGCAATTATTTCACCACATAATTAGTGACCATATCACTTTACAACAACTGAATGTAGAAGTTCAGACCATAATCGAAAGACAAAATGATCAATTGGCCACACCTACACCATTCCGTCATCTGGTAGCTCAAACTCGTCTTGGTGTTAGTCAAGCCGAACACATTCAGTTCTTCAAAAAAATGCTAGCCGACGTAGAAGCACCGACCTTACCTTTTGGTCTGAATGATGTTCATGACAATGGAATGGAGTTAGATGTAGCGCATTTGGATCTACCACAGGAACTTAATAATCAGTTACGGCTGCATGCGCGACATTGGCGAGTTACTCTGACCAGTTTATGCCATTTAGCTTGGGCACAAGTAGTTGCCCGTGCCAGTGGAAGCGAGAAAGTCGTTTTTGGTACTGTGCTACTAGGTCGTTTACAATCTGGAGAGGGAAACGACAGAGCTATGGGTTTGTTGGTTAACACGCTACCATTGAAGGTGGATATCGATGGGACAACGGTTGAGGATGCTGTTCGAAAAACTCATGCACGATTGAGTTCTTTGCTGGAACACGAACATGCAACGTTAGCATTGGCGCAACGCTGCAGTGGAATACCAGCTACCCTGCCACTTTTCAGTGCATTAATGAACTGCCGGCATAAATCGCAGACAGGACAGATAACTGTATCGATTCCTGGGATGAGTATTCTCGGTAGTGAGAGGCGAACAAATTACCCATTAAGCTTATCAGTGGACGACGATGACAATTCACTGAGTCTAACTGTCAAAGTGGTGTCATCAATATCAGCAGCAAGGGTTTGTGGTTATATGCAACAGGCTCTTGTCTCACTTGCCGACGCATTAATTTACACACCACAACAACATATACGAACATTAACCATCATGCCACAGGAAGAACGGGAGATGTTGTTAGGTAGCTGGAACCAAATGACAGTTAATTTTCCACCTCGACGTCTGCACGAATTATTTCAAGCGCAAGTGGAACGCGATGGACAAGCAATTGCCGTAGAGTGTGAAGGAGAAACTCTGACTTATGCAGAACTCAATATTCAGGCCAATCGTTTGGCACATTATCTCATTGCAAAAGGCGTTAAACCAGAAGATCTAATCGCAATTTGCGTTAGGCGAAGCACCAAAATGATTGTAGCTCTTCTGGGCATTCTAAAATCTGGTGGCGCTTATCTACCACTTGACCCGGTCTATTCGGGTCAACGATTAACAAATATTCTGAAGGACGCCGAACCATTGTTACTTCTAGTAGATGCCACTGGCAGAAAAGCTCTTGGAGAACATCAGGTTTCAGTAATTGATGTGGACAATGCCTTGTTTGACAACCTACCGATCGATAACCCGAACTCGGTAAAACTGGGACTGAAGCCAGTCCACCTCTCCCATGTTGTTTACACATCCGGTACGACTGGAACACCGAAAGGGGTGATGGTTGAACATCAGCAGATTTCGCGTTTCTTTGAAGTTGCACACAAAAAATTTGGCATTAATAAACATGACAAATGGAGTCTATTTCATTCGATATCTTTAAGCGTTTCCGTATGGGAGATATGGGGTGCATTATTTAATGGAGCTCAGCTGGCAATTGTGCCTTACAATACAGGACGTTCTCCTCAAGAGTTTTATGATTGGGTCTGTTCGCGAGAAATCACTGTGCTTGTTCAACCCCCATCCGCTTTCAAAATGTTTATGCAGGCGAAAAATATTAGTTCGCGGTCCGATCTACTACGCTATGTGTTCATTCGCGGTGAAGAGTTGAGTCCAATGATTGTAAAAAATTGGAACGAAAATAATGCAAACACTCAAACTGTACTAATCAATGTATATGGCACTACGGAGACGCCAAGTGCAATCTATAAACGAATTGAAGTTTCGAAATATTTACATACTATTGGTAGACCATTCTCAGATCTTCGTGTTTATCTGCTGGACGCAAAGGGTGAATTAGTGCCATTGGGAGCTGAAGGAGAACTGTACATTGGTGGTGCTGGTGTAACTCGTGGCTACCTCAATCGACCTGAACTTACAGCGGAACGATTTCTTACTGATCCATTCAGTGAGAATCAAACAGCACGCATGTACCGCACTGGTGATCTGGCTCGTTATTTGCCTGATGGAAATTTAGTATATTTGGGACGCAATGATCAACAGGTTAAAATCCGTGGTTTTCGAATTGAACCCGGCGAAATTGGGGCTCGTTTAATGGAACATCCTTCGGTGCGGGAAGCTGTTATACAGCCATGGAAGAACGAGACTGATAGTGATACCCGTCTGGTGGCCTATGTAGTGGCCGATCCAGATGCATCTCTCGCTAACAATCTACGAACTTATCTAGCATCTTTATTGCCTGATTATATGGTGCCAGCAGCATATGTGTGTCTATCATCATTACCACTCACACCAAATGGCAAGTTAGATCGACGTGCACTCCCAGCGCCGGATGATGAAGCATTTTCTCGTCAATTATATGAATCTTTACAGGGTGAAATGGAAGGAAAAGTGGCCGCAATCTGGAGTGAACTGTTGGGTATTGAGCGAATCAGTCGAAATGACAATTTCTTTGAATTGGGCGGCCATTCGCTGTTAGTTATGCGTTTCGCGAACCTTATCAAAAAGCATTATGATATACGCGTCAGTGCTCAGGCATTATTTTCCTTTCCAATACTCAAGGACTTAGCCGAAAAAATTACCAATTCTTCCGACAATATGTATTCAGATGTTGCTATACCAGCTCGTCGCAATGGCGATCAAGCACCAATATTTCTTCTTCCCAGTGGCGATGGAGATATTTCTCATGCTTTTGAACTTGCACACGAGATTGATAAAAATATTCCTGTTTATGTGTTACCGTGGTCGTCACCAGAAAAAGTGCAGCCATCGTCCATTGAAGAAATGGCCAACAAAATGATTCCGCTAATAAAGAAAGTACATCCGAATGGCCCTTGCGCTGTAGCTGGTTACTCCTCTGGGGGTATTCTAGCCTATGAAGTAACGAATCAACTTATAAACATAGGTTATCCAGTTTCATTTTTGGGTTTAATCGATACGTATCCACCCTACGCATCTATTTCATACAATGAAACCGACGTCTTTTTGCTCTTTATCACAATGAAATCTCCATTTTTCAACTCGTTAAATGATTCAGAGTGGTGGGAACGTGTCTTTAAATTGTCTCTGCCTGAAGCTATCGAAGAAGTTAAACAAAAGAATGTTGATCTGAAAAATAAAGATATCGATTGGGAAGTATTATTATTGAAACAACGAATTCAATACAAAACCATATGCGAAGTGTACAATATAAATCCAATATCGACTACAGTAAACCTATATAAGGCCACGGAATTCGAAAGGTCACTTATTGGTAATGAGTTCTTGGAAAAAAAATTTGAAAAATATAAGGAAAAATTTGATATCGAGGAATTTTTTAATCGCCCAAAAAGTGGATGGGAAGTTTACAATCTTCCAAGCTTGCATGTGATTCCTGTGAAGGGTACTCATTCGACAATGATGACAGATCCGACAAATCGAAGTTTGTTGGGTGGAATGGTAACTCCAAGGTTAACTTAGTCAACTTCTGACATCTATATAATCTAAAACTATCACAAGGGAAACATCTCTGAAATGTAATTGTAATTCTAAAAAGTTAACAGAAAATAAAATTGTGAAAATATGTTGTTCGAGAAATAAATAAATAAATAATTTTGTTTGGTTTAAATATGTTTTCGTTTATTTCATTTTTTTAAGCCCATAGCTTGTTCTTCTCTTAAACTCAAACATCGCATAACATGTGATTGGACCTATGACTGATACTATCATGGGTTTTGTTTAGCTGGTAAAAAAAATGCCAACCATAAAATTATACTCTTGAATACTTTCAGCCAAATCTCCACCAACAACTTGTGCAATCAATATGAATTCAAATTAGGTCAATATTTTAATATTTACACGTAAAATAGCGATATATGTAAAGATGATTTTTATAAACGTGGCAACGAAGTTGAAATAAAAGAATTACCTCTTTCACAGAATTTCTATAACAAGATTACAAGAAAATATTGTGAGTTTGTTTTGGTTGTTTGAGTAAATAATATTGGGATAGATTTTAAACTGTCAGATTTGATACTTGATAGTTCGAATTATAAATCTCCTAAATGTTGTATGAAACACTTGTTTGACGTTTTCTGTGTGAATACTTACAGAATATTCAGTGAATAAAATCAAGACGCAAAATACGTAAAATAAATACATTATTTAATAATTACAAATATTATTGCTTTCCTCCGCCGTCAATCGATTTGATGACAAGTGAACCATACACTGTCCTACTGATTACTGACTAACAATTTCAAGTTCAAAAAATTATGTCACACGAATTCCATTGGTTTCACAGTTTATTATTGGGCGTATGAATTAGTTTACATCGTTTTATAAGCGAGAGATGAGCGCAGTCAATATGATTGTAATGTGACGTCACATATCTTATAGAAAAACGCCATCTGTGTAAAACAGGCTTACTACAATGTAAAAGTATAGCAGGGGGAAGGAGATGAAGAAGGAGAGGAAACAAATATACGTTTGATTTACATTGTAGTCAGCGTGTTTTACTTCGCTTGCCCTTCGTTTATAAGAGATCGCGTATTGGATTATTGGATTTGTACGGGGAGCATACTAGGTCAACTTTTCAGTAATATCTATAGTTTCTCGTTGCTCAGGTTAATTTACCTATTGCAAGACGCCCGTTTGAGTTATGATGCTAGTAGACAGCCGGGGTTCCAACTGTTCGGCACAGTCGCCCTTGCTGTTCAGCATGGTCTTCAGCGGCCCTTACTGTTCGGCAGGGCCTAGACCATTGCTTCACTTAGGACCCAACTCACTGCAGTTGTTGTGAACACTCATAACTCTACCATACTCCAGATGGCGCTGGGTTCCTCTATTCAATGTAGGAATGCTACCACCACTGATTTACCGGTATATTCACCAGTAGTTCAGCATTACCTTTTTACGGTTGACGTATTGGATATTTGACATATCCAAGACATCAACCTAACGTAAAGGCACTCCATTTTACGTGTGTCTATGCTGAACCCATTATTCGTTGTGCACACACACGGGACCGAAGGCTTTAAGTGCCCTCCGAAGCACTTCACAAGTCCGAGACCCGGCCCAAATTTCTCCTCATTAAACCACTGATGAGTCATTTACAGTTTAGTGATCGTGCGACTCTTGATAGCTATGCAATCGCACTGCAGCGTGTGATTGAACGACATGATATTCTACGTACTGCCTTCGTTTGGGAAGGAATCAGTGAACCGGCACAAGTAGTCTTGCGTCATGTTCGATCAGTTCTAAGTTAGTACTACTAACCGAAGTCACACTGGATGATATTGATAACCATGTTCTAGAACAATTAAATGATCGATACAACCAACGTCACTACCATCTAGATTTAAAACAAGCGCCACTGTTGCGTTTGTTGGCCGCTCCAACGCCTAAAGGAGATTGGATAGCATTGCAGCTGATGCATCACATAACTGGTGACCACGCCACTCTACAGAGACTTCACTATGCAGAAGTTCGGGAAATAATGGATGGATGTAGCGAAAAAATGGCTCGTCTAGGTGTTAGTCAATCCGAACACATGCAGTTCTTTAGAGAAATGCTTTCTGATATTGATACACCAACCCTACCGTTCGGTTTGAGCGACGTTCATGACGATGGAATCAAAGTAAATGAATCGTATCTGAACCTATCACAGGAACTTAATAATCAATTGCAAGCCCTTGCTCGTCATTTCCGTGTCAGCTTAGCCAGCCTCTGTCATTTGGCCTGGGCACAAGTATTACTTGCCCATGCTAGCGGAAGCGAAACAGTGGTATTCGGTACAGTTCTACTTGGCCGATTACAGTCCGGAGAAGGAAATGAGAGTGTTATGGGTATGTCGATTAACGCGCTACCTTTACGGTTCGATATCGATGATATTACAGTCGAAAACGCTGTACGCAACGCTCATTCGCGTTTGAGTGCTTTGATATCTCACGAATATGCATCACTATCGTTAGCGCAACGTTGTAGTGGAGTGGCATCTTATTTACCTCTTTAAATTTTCAACGACATTGATTGATCGGTGTAAAACTCAGACTCTGAAGAGGCACTTATGTAAAAATAAGAGCTACTTTTTCTTCGCAATGATTCATTTGTAAAAATGAAAAATGTCTAAACAAATGACCATTGGTCAATAAAATAATCTTAAATGCCTACCTTAATCTATGTGATGGATACTTCAGTTTCATTTAGTATGTTTCTGAAGCACTTAACTTTGATAACGTTCAGCCTTTTTTTCACTTCATAAATAAAAGATGTTGAACATTTTGTAGCTTGCATAGCATAAGAATCAAAATATTTATCGCGGACGTGTGCCATTTCAAATTGAACTATTACTGATAAGCTTCAAACTACTTCGTATATAAAAGTAAATATTTGTGTCAGTTGATAAAATTGTATTAGACTGTAAGCGGTTTGCTTCTAGTGATTTTACTTAGAAATTCTCATAAAGGTTTGATGATGAACAATTTGGTTTTTGGTGTGATTTTCTCGCTATGGTCACTGCAAACGATTGGCGGTCAATTATTAACAATGCAAGATGTATTGTTAAGAAATTTTCAAGTTAGTAGTTATTTTTTAATAACATTTTATCAACGAAAAATCTAATTTTTGCATCGTTTATTTTTTCAGTTTGAATCGCGTGACGATTTAGGTAAATTCAAAAAAGCACACCTTGCATTAATAATCATTAATCAACTTTTTGATTTTGAACGTGATTTTTTTTTTTTTTGAACAGGCGATCCATTGGTATTGACCAAATGGATTGAAAGTGGAAATATAGCTGACGCTCGTAAATTGGCACGAGTCAATGAAAGTGAATTTCTGGATGTAGTTAGTTACTCTGGATTTTTAACGGTCAACAACGACTACGATTCGAATCTATTTTTCTGGTTTTTTCCAGCTGAAGGGACCGAACAACTATATGACGATGACACAGAAAAAACTGTTGGCGATGATCGTCCGGTTTTACTTTGGCTTCAAGGAGGTCCAGGGGCATCTTCGATGTTTGCTTTATTCACCGAAAATGGACCTTTTTTCGTGAATGACAACATTACAATTCGAAGTAGGAGGTTTTAAATTTCTGAAATGTTTTTCTGAATCTTAATAATACAATAGGGCAAAACAGGGCATTATTTTCTACGATTTTCTAAAAAATTTGCAAAATATTTTTTTTTCTTCACATTTGTAGAGAATCCATATTCTTGGCATAAGAAATACAATATAATATTTATCGATAATCCGGTTGGAACTGGTTTCAGCTATACAGATTCAGATGGTTTATGCACTAACGTTACACAAGCCGCCGACCATCTCTACATTGCTTTGAAACAATTCTTCCGACTCTTTCCATGGCTTCAATCGAATGATTTTTACATCACCGGCGAGTCATATGCCGGTAAATACATTCCGGCTACCGCCAATGCCATTTGGGAAGGAAATAAAGTCGATGATCTTATCATTAATTTACAAGTAAATTGAGCAATTTTCTGTGAAAACTTTCGCTTTTTATCGTTCATGTCATTTTTCATTTTGTCTCTATTTCAGGGTTTGGCTCTTGGAAATGCATTCACTGATCCAATGCATATGCTTGAATACGCAGAGTTCGCTTATCAACTGGGTCTGGTTGATATTCATGGTAAAAATCAAATGACAGTGTATGAAATGAAGACCAAAGAAGCATTTCCGGACGCCGAAGCACATACTGTAAGAAAATACATCACTACCAAATGGTGAACGAAAAAATTAAGTTTCCATTCATTATTTCACAGCTTTGGAATAGCCTATTGGTATCATTTTATCGCAATAGTAACTACGCAAACTTGTACAATATTCTACAACCAGAAAATGTGGATTTGGGATCATATGGTCGATATCTCGACCAAAGTCATGTGAGTAATGTGCGATTTTGTTTTGGAAAATGTTCTAATTCGTTTTTCAAAAATTGACAGATTCGTCGTGCAATTCATGTGGGTAGTAAACGTTTTGACGAGATCAGTAATGAGGTATATATAAAAATGAAAGGAGACTTTATGAAAACAGCAATGCACTGGACGGAAAAATTGCTGAACGAAGGTTTACGTATCATGTACTATAGCGGCAATTTGGATCTTATTGTAGCCTATCCATTATCAGAGAATGCTTATCAGCATATGAAATGGAATGGCGCGGAAAAATATCTTTCAGCACGTCGCAAACCATTCAAAGTAAACTCCAAATTGGCTGGGTAAGTTGAAAATAGGTTTTTTTTTACAAGTAATCAGTTTATTGACGTTACACGTTTGTTTTTTTCTTTTTCTTGTCTTTAGTTACATAAAAGTTACCGATAATTTTGTGGACGCCATAGTTTTGAATGCAGGTCATATGGTTCCAACCGATCAACCTGAAGTGGCACTTGATCTTATCGATCGCTTCATTCGCAACGATTTATAATGAAATTGTGCAGTGGCGTACCTATCTAGGGTCCCTAGGGGCAAGTCACTTCAAAAATAGTTTTTTAATTATTTCGATAATTATCTCGGCTATGCTCATAACCGATGCAAAATGATCATATCTATCGCATAAAGGTGTTTTCAAAATTTTAAAATGATATACATTTGCAAATATTTGGCATAAAATTTGATTGCGAATGATTTTAAAACTGGTATACAAATTTTATATTCAATCCAAGAGTTAGTTTTTCACCTTTTCATTTATTTACGTATCCCTCTTTTCTTGTGAAAAATAAAAAGGCTTACGTACGCAAGCTGACTTTTCCGCATGGAACC